TATCGCGAGAGTTTGCACCGATGTAAACCCTCTACACAAAAATGTAGAGGGTTGTTTGAAAGAAATGCCGACCGTAAAGTTTTTTTTCGATGTAGAAATTCTCGATCGGTCGGGTCACCGGAAACACACTACTTTTTTTTCTACGCCTAAAGGTACACCAAGCGGGAGAAGACACTGTTTCGGGAGAGAAATAAGAGACTAGGTTGATGAGCCTCTGGTGAAAAAAGAGCAGGTAGCCTGTTGAGTACGATGTATGCCACTGACACGATTGTTACTTGTTTGGAACTATTTTGTGTGGAAGGTTACCGTGTTCTGTATCTATATAAATAAAGTGGGTGGACCTTCCCTGTGTTCCTCTGACAGTGACTGTGCGCTGAGGCACGTCGGGAGTTCAGCGGTGCAGTGGTAGCGACCACACTGAAAATAAGAAAACGTCTCCAGTGTTGTGCCTCGAACCAAGTGTAGTCATTCGAAATGATGTTTACACAAAACCATAGAGAGACTTCCGCGCAAGAAGGACCAACAGGATCAACATAGCCTGACTAAGTATGCAACCATGGCTTAAATCCACTATAGGCTGAGTCCTCGTTATCTTAGATGTGCACTTTATAATTTTATATTGCTCTGTTTTGATTTCTTAAAAAGAACTGTTAAAGGAGCTGTTGTGTGACAAAATATTTTTTTTCACTGTTGTTGATGGACAGTAATATTGTGTGAGAGATTATGTGTGAATAACAGCTCAAGTGAAAAATGTTCATGTAAAATTGAAAATCGAAATTGTTTCAGTAAATATTTGCATTTTGCACAAAGAAAACTGATTCACGATTCCATGTTGATGAGAGCATTAAAATGGGGAAAAAAATAGGACAAAAAGATATAAAAGAAATTTAGAAAAGATAAAAAAATTGTGGTTAATTGCGATTAATTATGAGTTAACTACGACATTTGTGCATTTAATCACGATTAAATATTTTAATCGTTTGACAGCACTAATAATTTCTGATTCATATCAGAAACATTTTTGAAATTTTCATCGCTTTATTGAAAAACAAGACATTATTTCAAATTGACAGTGCAGAAAATGCAAAGAAATGGATTATGAGGACTGGTTTACTCTGTACCATCTGTAAGAAAATAAACAAAATGTTGAATATTTGTTTACTTGTGCCTTATTTTGATTTAATATAAGGATAATCAGTGTGCCTTCATGGAGGACTACAGAAACCCGAGAATATATATTTCCTCAGAAAAATTGGAGCACGCATACACGCACGCACTTGCAATGAAGTTGGGACATTGTGTTCAATAAAAACCGAATACAATGATTTGCAAATTCTGTTCAACTTGTCTTTGATTGAATACAGTACAAAAGACAAGATATTTCAATGATTAAACTGATAAACTTTGTGTTCAGCAAATAATCAAACTTTTGAAATTTATGGCTGCAACATGCTCTAAAAAAGCTTGTAGAATAATAGAACTTACCTTTCTTTTCCTCAAGTGTGTACTGGACTGGTATTGGGTATAATGCATCTTACAGTAGAACTTTGCTGAAAGAGCAATACAAACATTTACAAATAAGTATTTCACAGGCAATAATTTAATTTCAATTAAATGGTTTAAGTGATTAAATAGTACAGATGGATCGTGACTCAACCATACCCTCATATGAGTTGAAGGTGTGGCCGCCCAGTCGGAGAGTGCAGTTACAGACGTCACAGCGGAAACACTCTCGGTGGAAGAAGAAGCCTTCAGCACTCAGTCTCTCCATGACATATACCCGCTTGGAACAGAAGTGGCAGATATCGCTGCCACCAAGTCCGGAGTGGAAGTCTTTACGTCCCATACACTGAGAAAAGACACGCACAAGGTTAAAGTAACTTTCTGGACATGGCGTTTCTTTTTATTCCAATGAATAGCTGATAAGAATATTCCAGAAATTAAGAAATAGGAACATCACATGAATGAACTTTCCACAAGTGGGGGGAAAAAAGGAGAATATCTTACTACTGTATATGAATGAATATTTTTCCTGGGCCTTCTTAGGAAAATCAATGCTGGAAGAGTAAGAAAGAGTATAAGAGCAACCTTGTTTAAATCCACCAACCTTTTTATATCCTGTATATTAAAAAAAAATCTGGATATCTTGATTTGACAGTATGTCTATCCATGAGGAGGTGTTGGGAACGTTTTAGCAAGCCCAGTTGCAGAACCAAGACCCTATCAGCAATGTTAAGCAAGCATAGCTTTGCAGTGCTTAGAAGACACTTTCAGAGGGAGTTTTGTTCCAGGCACTGTTTTTTTTTTTTTTTTTAGTTGTATACAATAGAGTAGAGTATACAATGCAGAAGTGTTGGATGTCTTTTGCATTTTGCTAATTTAGTATCTTTTCAAACAAAATGGCAGATGAGGCCATGAATTTGACGGTTAGCACACATCTTACCGTAGCAGCACCGGGCCTGTGATCTGTCTCATAGAGGACGGCTAGTATTTGGGCTTTAGCGTCTATGGTTGATGACACCTTTCCAACTGTGCGCTAACATCGACACCAACGGAAATCAAAGGACAACAGAGGGAAGTAGTTCACACAAGAAAGTCAGAAGGAGAACAGGTGACATTGTTCTTTCCCTTAACAAACCTGGATTGAGGCTGGGCTATTAAATGGTACCTCTTTACTGTAGCTTGGAGCTCCAGTTGGACAACTCTCAGAGCGAATGACTCTTTTTGGATCTTCAAGACTATAATTTCCATTGAACTAAGACATACAGCAAAGGGAAGAGCAACCTATTAAAAACAGTGTGTTTGTGCTGATCCCTTGTAAATGAGGTTTGTAAGCATGCACAAGGGGTACATGCCATGCGTGCTGCTGCTTCTGGCACACATCTGTTACCTTTGCATGTATACCACATTTGTGGCTCTCCGATGTCTCGTGAGAAGTTTCGTGCATTTGCCGTGTTTCGAGATTGCCCTGAGGGCTGTATTCTGTCCCTGTATTTTCTTCTGATAGTGCAAAAATTGGACATGAAGAGAAGCTGATTTTAGCGAGTGGAGCTGCAGCATCCCGGCTGACGTTAGAACCAGATATTTCAGTGGGGACTTTGCGCTTACTAGACAGGGAATCCACATGACAAGTTTGCTGTGTACTTTCAGAGACGGCATAAAACGTGGGAGAGGGAGATAATTTCTTGTGCTTGAGGTGAAGAGGGTTAAAGAAACCAGCCTGAGCAGTGGGGTCAGGGATAGGGTGGACCACAGGGTAGATTTTGGTGCTTTTAGATGGAGGAATAGGAGGGATAGAGGTAGATAGTTCAACCTAGAGAATAGTCAAACATTCAAGATGAAGCAGAATAAGGACAACAGGAATTTCAGATATTGCTGGCATCGGGCGGAATCTTCATCTGTCCAAAACCATCACTTTTAAGGAAAGCCCCCCCACACCCCCCAATGTTTGTTCAACAATTAACATTGCATCGTCAAAGAGAGCAAGACATTTTCAACACTGGATTGGTCAATATTTTGTCAAACTAACACCCACACGTGGAATGACCGATAGTATAGACTTGTGATAAAATATTAAATTTACCAACTTGTAACATAAGAGGTTTGTGCCCGATGCCAGCGATATACAAACCCGATGATGAGCAGAACCTGTGCTTGAGGGAGAGCGGAAACATGAACAGGAGTAGGTTTGTTGGAGCCAGTAAACAAGGAGGAGAGAAGAACAGCTCTTTCCTTGATTGTCTTTTGTGCAAACTGTCTAGTTGTCAGCCTCTCGGCATTATTCTGCAGGGCGGAGCAATAGGGGGCAGAAATCAATGAGAAGATGGAACTACATCGAAGGAGATACATTTGATATTTAATTCTAATAAGTAAACAACTGCTAATGGCATCAAATTGTTAAATGCAGCTTAGTGTTTTCTTTCATTAAATGCCAATACAACCGTGTGTTCACCTGCTGCATTTCCTCCTGTGACCTTGATGAGGAAAGATCAGTGTCCAACAGAGAAGACGCAGAATAATGGCTGGCTTTAGCAACGGGAGAAGTGCATTCTGTGTGGTGTCGTTCAGGAATTGTTGAGCGCAACGGGCTACTGGCATGTGAGTGTGACGGAGAGCGACTGCCGCTTATGGAGTAAGAGGCAGGATTTTCCAGTAAACGAAGGTAGATGGAAGGCTGAGGAGGTGGAAACAAAGATAGAGGAAGCCACAGGAAATATGAAGACAGTGATAACTATTTTTGCAGTGAGAATGCAAGTTGGAAATGAATGAACCATCAATGAATGTTGCATAACAGCAAGAGGTAAAATTTGTGGAGCGTACCTGCCACTTGGGTTGTGGGGGGAGCAGATGAGAAGGGGGAGGGGGAGCATCCTTCGGCTTTGCAAAGCGGGGATTTTCACCCTCCTCCACCTCCTCATTTGAGAACGGTAGTGGGGTGGAGGGAGGTGAAAGAGGTGAAGAACAGGATGGGCTAGGTAGGTCATCCTCAAGCTGATTATAGAAGGAATGGGAAAAGGAAGTATAGAAAAGGGAAATGAAAGAGGTGTCTGGAAATACAACATTATAATACCATGTGCTGTGTGCATACCGCCATGTGAGCCCACACGTGTCCTTGTGTGTCAAAATCATCAGTCTGTATGAAATGCACTGTGCTGCAGCACATTAGTGTTCCGTTAAAAATTCGGACATCATCCCAAATTAACAACTCAACTTAATTGGTCTGAAAATTATTTCTTTTCTACATTTAATGCAAGGCTTGATTTTTTTGGAGGAGCATTTTTGCTAATCGATGACATCATTTGAAGAGCAACTTTGTAACATTGCATAGCAATTTTTTGTGGATTAATCCCGGTGACCTGAAACGCTGAAATATATTTCACTCTAAAGAGCAATTATATATTCAAAAGAAAAGAAAATCTACAGTTCCAGTTTCTTAAATTCACATAGCAGCAAACGATTTTCAATTACAAACACAAATAGACATTACAGTTTAAATTTATCATTTTTTGGATCAACAACATAAGGCATTCATTTAAAAAGAAGCATTAACACCTTTGACGTAACCTCACTTCAGTAGCAAGCAAGTGACATGGTTTATTACAGCCGGTTCATGGCTGTGTGTTTATGAGCTTATTAATGCAGCTGACAAGGAATAAGAAATATTCTTTATAGGCTACTCCATTGGAGGTTTTGGAGCATTCAAAACCAAAATGAAGACACCTCAAGAGGGAACAAATATTTCCTTCATTTAACTTCACCAAAACCCTACAAAATAGAGACACTTTGAGTACTGCAGGGGCCGTGCCTACACTGAGCACAACTTACTATATAAGTACAGTGATCCCTCGCTACTTCGCGGTTCGTTTATCGCGGGTTCAGTGCATCGCGGATTTTTTCAAACATATAAAAAAAAATATATTATATTTTTATATTTTTTTTTTAACCTGTTTATGTTAATTGGACGCTACTTCGCGGATTTTCGTTTATCGCAGGTGGTTTTGGTCCCCATTAACCGCGATAAACGAGGGATTACTGTACTCATTTGATGAAATGATGGTCACGGGCATATAACCTATTTGTCATTTTTATATTAAACAAGCCACAAATTCACTGGCATTCATAACTAATGCAGAGCTCAGACTGCACAGCTTTTTTTTTGTCATTCATGGCTGTTGCTAGGTCATATTATGAGTGGCCAGAGACCCCGCCCAAATACATATTCTTCCTGAAAATTTTGTATTGGAGTGTGCAGCAGGTTTTTGCCTTAGTTCAATAAAAGCTGGGAAACACTGGTCTACTTTATGCCTAATATCTGACTTTAATTTATTTTAGTATAGTTTTATTTGATTTCAATGTAAATTGTATTAATCTGGTAATTTCTTATGCAATAGTACAACATCAATGCTGTTGTGCTTACTTATATTTTGCAGCTGAATTCTACAGTCCAAGATTGTAAAAAGTATCCAAAATACATCCCTGCCTTGACTCGTTTGTTTTAAAAGCATGCTCATAATTTAAATTACTCATATAATAAATCGTCTTTCCCCAGTTGAAATGAATGGGAATGCCATTCATCAGTCCTTGCGCCAAAATGCGTTCTTTCTGGTGTGGGCTACTTTCCTCTGTGCGTTTCACAATTGACTGAATTAGCTGCAATAATAACTTTTCGCAGAGGACAAATAATGAATGCCTGTGAGTATTGTCTGTTTACATGCTTTGCAGAACCATTTATGTTCAAATTGCCGTTACTTAAAAGGGTTTAAATTTTTTAAACATTGATAGTTTTGCAAGTCCGTTTATGGAATTTGGCAGTTTGTGTTAGCATTCAGCTAGCGATATTAATATAAGACAAGGTTATGTGTTTTATGGAACTGCACAACATGAATTTTTCAGTTTTAGTTTGAGAGTAAGCTTCAAGTGCGAGTGGCAATAAACAAAACAAGCCCTTATTTTTAAACTATTGATCACAAAATGCCAATCTGCTCTTTCCTGTGAAGTGAGTTCAGCTCGCTGCCACCATCTAGCGCGCCTACAATTTTTGCTCGCAAATTGAAGAGGGGGAAGAATTTTTCTTTTTTTTTTTTTTTTTTAATTTAAAATCAGTGGAGCAATAACTTGTATCCTTAAAACGTCTAAACCTGGTTAATCCAAAATCGATGTAGTATTACACCTTGCCCCAAACAATGCAAAGATTATGTATTTTTCTGGAGAATGAGTTCACTTTTTTGGGGTACTCTCAATGTAATTATCTCTTTCCAGTTATTCTGCAGCAATGAACGCTGAAAAAAAGACAACACTTGAAAACTCCATGGTCCATGGGTTAAAAATAGCTCAAAGGGTGATGTATTTACGACTTATTCATATCCGACCTTGCCATGCATTTTTTCTGCCGAGTTCTCCTCGAATTTGGCCAGCAGCTGTGTTGCCATGGATCGGACCTTGTTCTCCTGCACTTTCCCACCCACACCTGCTGAGGGCGCACTGTGACAGGATAACTGATGCACGGTGCAGGACCCAAGAAACAGACAGTGTGAAATGAGATCAAAAGATAGATATGAAATATCGCTCATTTTTCACTCTTTCAAATATGATAAAATAATCGACCTACCTCTGTGAGGTAGCTGCTTCCCTTACGTCGCCTCTTATGAACAGAGTCGTCGTCCAATTTTTTGTCATCCTGCGAGTGAAAGCACAAGATTCCTTGATCATAAAAATGAAAGCTAAACATTATAATTGAGCATTTTCCTTGCAATGTACGTCTTGCAGACATCGTCAATCCATGCAATCAGAGATTGAACATTTATATGCACAATCTGGACCATTGTGCTGTCTTGAGAGAATCTAATAAAATTTCAGTTGCCAGAAGAGCAATGATGGTGCTCTTATTAATGAAAAGGCAAAGAGCTGATGAGCTGGGAAGTGCTATCAAGCCTTTCACCTTCAGAGAAATACACAATTATTCCATGAATAAGTCAGAACATTCACTTAGAAGAGTGTTACACAACCTTTGGTATCCTCTTCCTGGGCTGGCCTAGGTTGCTTTTTGTTGATTGCCTTTCACTATTCTCATCTCTTTCTTTTGCTCCTGTAATGTAGATGCACAGTATGTTCATATTACGTAAAGTAGGAAATACTTGAAGGAAACAATGAAGGTATGGGATAAAACAAAGCATTCACACGTATATTTGGATGTCCACTCAACATGGATGAACATGTTTTACGCCCTTATGTAACAATTTACAGATAAGTGATACCAAAACCAAAGACATTCAAGTTCCGCAGGAGGATATTATGAACAGACAAGGGGAACAACTGGCAGTTGACAACACAATTGTTCATTTAAAAATGCAATGCAGCAATTACTATGCGCTTCTTTTTGCATGCCAGATGTATATTTTGTGTCCTGGATTTATTTCTTTCAGTGATTGAAAATGCAACACAATGATGTTATATGGAAGTTGTTTCAGTTGCCAACAAATATCACTCTGTAATTCATAAGTCTCAAACCAAGCAACGGAAACCAAGAGAATCAAGCCTCAGGCCAAAAAACAAACAAACAAAAAAAAAAAACCTCCGTCAATAAAAATATTTACAATTAACTGTTATTTTAGGCCATTGTCTCACTCTCTTGGTTTAATTTAACCTGGTCTGGATTTACACCACAGGTTGAAGTTTAAATAAAGTAATTCATTTTAAAAGGTCACGTGTGAAGTAATTTTAGAAAATCCCAAACGAAATAATTTTATGTACAGTAACAATGAAACAAAAATACATTAAATAAAGCATGAAAAAAATAATTTGTATTTCGTAAATGTAATCGTTTTCCTGAGGTGAGATTCTGGTAAGCGACAAACCCGGAAGTGTAGCATCACTTCAAGACAATAGGAAGGCTCACTATGGGAAGCGTACAAAGCCAGTCAGAAACAGATTGGGAAAGAGACGTTTCAAACATATCTGGGGGGTTCCAGGTTTTGGAAGAGTTGGAGGAAGAGGGGGTTCTTGGCAAGATTTATGTTGGACCATACATGTACGAGTCAGATGCTCAGGATGCAGAAAATGCTATGCCCAAACATATGCTTGAAATAGTTTTAGCCCTAAGTATTACTCAAAAGATGCTTGGCCAAGTTTACTTCACACTTGACCTTTAATGTGACCAGCACTGATCAACAAAGGATGTGTTTGTATCAAAAATAAATGAAAAAAATAACTAAAGAGATAAAGAGTTTATCTAAGCCAAATAATTACATTTTCTACTTCATTATAAAATAAACTACATTTGCAAAGGAAACTTAAATGAAGCAATTTGATATAAACATAGAAAAAGTCAAGAAATAACAGAATTTTTTTACTCTGACCTTTTTTGTTTCCAGGCAAGTTCCTAAAGGCTACGTAAAATTTGGAGAGGTATAAAACCATTAGCAGCTTGTCTGGTTCAGCCCCGGCAACCATCTCCTTCCCAGTCGTCACTGGCTGAATCCCAAGATGACGCTCAGCCACATCAAAGGCCAATTGATTGTTCGCTGCTACTTCATCCTCATGAAGGGAGTCATAGTCACTGAGACAGAAAAACAATCACATTGACATGTTTGGAAATAAAAAAATAATTCAGACCTGGCATTACTCATCTGCCAAGGACCTATTTTTAATGTGCCAAAGGGGCTAACTTGACTTTTGCATGACTGAAGCAAAGTTTTTTCTTGTCTCATATGCATGTTTTAATGTCAAAACCAAATCTCTTCAGTCCCAGGCAAAAATGGGGGGGGGGGGGGGTTAATGTCCTGGAATATGAATCAGTCAGAATACCATGAGTGCATTCTCACATGAGTTCAGGCCTCTGCTTGTGTATGAGGGCACAAAGGGCAAGGCCACTCCTCCATGAGGATGTCAGGTTGGTGATGTCGACCCCTCTATAGCCATTTGTCTGTCTCTGACACCATGTCAGCAGCCTGTCAGGGCGCACCTCACACTCTGCATGAGAAGGAACATTATTCACATCGCTGATCTTAAAACATCAAACGTCGAAATGTGGTTTTGCGTAGCAGCTTGTGAGTCAAAAAGTGCATTTTCTGCCTCATGAAAACACACTAAAGAGCAAAATTGAGAGTTATATATATTTTTTTCAGATACTGTACTTGAACCACAAAAATGACGCAAAAAGATTTGCTGGGCTGGACGGACGTCACTACGTGTGGGTAATCCGAGATCGAGGCAAGCTCTGAGCTAATTATGCCACACCAGCTAGTCATCGCCTCCAAGGCAAGGAATAAACTATACTTCTGACAAATATCATCATGAAGGGATGATGAGGAAAGACGGAGAAGTGATGCTAATTTGTTCAGCTAACCTTAAGACTGACATGTAATCGTGAAACACCAGAATTCAGTGTTTGGGTGATCAACTACCATTTTCACAGAGATCTGGCTCTAACCGCGTTAAAGCGGAGAGTAAACAACTTTGAACAGCCAAATGGTGGGCAATTTAAAAAGTGTCTTATACACTACGTTATACAGCTAAACAAATGAATTACGTTATGGCGTACGTCAAATATCTCCATCTAAAACTGAAGAATCCTCTTTGACTAGCATCCGTGTTGATGCCTGTTATTTCTCACTGCGGATTATATCGTGGAGACAGGAATTGTAAGAATTTTTGGTATTCTACATTTGACCAGGGAATGCATATGCATAGATTTCACAACGTGCTGTGTTACTTAGCAGAACTGTATGTCTGTCATAAATGTGGCAAAGTAAACAACGATCTTGGAACATATGACGAGCCAACAGCTGAAGTGCCATGGGGAATTTGTGTCGCTCACATCAGGTATATATTTCACTAAATCGTTCATTATTTTGCAATCAAAAGCCAGTGCTACATGTTTTAGCTGCTGTAAATGAAACCAAAGTTCAGATGGGAGATACGTCACAAAAGCAACATTGTTTTGTTGCAAAGTCACTATTCGCCTAAAATTTTGTTTTCACAAAAGCTAATTTCCAACGGATTATGGAAGCGGCTACATTTTGTAAAATGTATTCATATTATACATCCATGAATATTCTTGTGAGCCTCACCTCCTCTGGAAAGGTTGACAGGTCTACCTATGGTACCTTCAAGGTTTGAAAAGTCCTGTTTGCCATCAATGAAGAGGTGTCGCACCTTGGAGGTAGAAAGTAATGTGACGCTCTTTTGTGTCATGTCATATGACAAACTTTTATTCTTCAACAAACAGTGACATTCAGTATACATCATCCATCCATCCATCGATACCGATTATGCGGGGTCAGGTCAAGGGGGCAGCAGTTTTAGCAGGGAAACCCAGAATTCCCTCTCTCTAGCCACTTTATCCAGCTCTTCCAGGGGACAAATACCCTCTAGCCCCACTTCTGAAAAAGGGGGGGACACCCTGGTGAGCCAATCCAGAGGCACTGTCGCCAATGTCCATGTGATGTTGTAGAGGTGTGTCAACCAAGACAGCCTCAAATAATCCAGAGCCTATAGGAACTCTGGGCGGATCTCATCGAACCCTGGGTCCTTGCCACCAAGGAGTTTTTTAACCACATGGCAACTTCAACACCAGAGATAGACACGCCCATCACAAAGTCCCCATACTCTGCTTGGTGAAAGGAAGGCCTGTTGGAGGAATTATTGAGGTCTTCGCAGAATTCGGCCCACTGACTCAATGTCCTGAATTGAGGTCAGCAGCACCCCATCTCCAATACACATAGTGTTAATGGCGCATTGCTTCCCCCTCCTAAGACTATGGATGGTGGACCAGAAGTTTCTCAAGACCGCCCAGAAGTCGTTTTAAATGGTCTCACCAAACTCCTCCCACACCCGAGTTTTTGCCTCGGCGAACACCGAAGCTGCGTTCCGCTTGGTCTGCCGATAACAATCAGCTGCCTCAGGAGACCCACAGGCCAAAACGGCCCGATTAGACTCCTCCTTTAGGTTGACGGCATCCCTTATCGCTGGTGTGCACCAAGACAGGCACTGGCCACGTTATGGCCACAGCTCCGGTCGGCCGCCTCAACAATGGAGGCACTGAACATGGTCCACCCAGACTCAACGTCCATCCTCACTAACTTGGGTGACATTCTGCCAGAGATGGGAGTTGAAACTCCTGATTGGGGAATCTACTATACATTATGAGTAGACCCTTTGCAATACGTTTTTGGGTCTGTCAGGTCAAACTGACATCGTCCCCCAACACACCACCAGCTGGTAATCATTTGACAGCTCCGTCTCTCTCTTCTCCCGTGTGTCCAAGACATGCAGCATGTCTGATGCCATGACCATGAAGTCCATCATCGAACTGAAACCTAGGGTGCCCTGGTACTGGGACTGTCACGACTGAATATTTTTAGAATCAATTCATTGATTATGCATTAAAGTGTTTTACAAAACCTATTTCTTACATTAATGTTTATTAACAAATTACTGTTTGTTTGGTATTGTTTAGTCATTAAAAAACAACCACCAACCAATATCACACAAGAGACGGATTGATGTATTCACCAACTTATTTGAAACCGATTCAGTTACTGGTTCAGTCAATGTTTGCCAAAGTCAAAGCAGATGTTTTCTAATGTCTAATTTTGATTCAAATTAATTGAACACAAAAATATGCGATCTGTTTTCATGAAAAAAAAATACAAAAATCTGAAAATAATTACTGTTGAGAGGCTGATATCAGAGGATTTGGACAACATAAAGGTAAACAATGTTTTTAAATGACGACTATTAGTTTTTTATTAAAATAGTAATTGATTAATTTGATAATCGATTAGTTGTCAATCAATTAATTTTGACACCTCTACCTGATATCAAGTGCACAGATTGACAAACTTATGTTTGACCTAGTGTAGCACTCCCTTCAAGGACAACACAAAGGGTGTGTATTCTGAACTATTGTTTGGTGGTAAAACAACACAAACAACTGTCAGGACCCATTGCCCCACCCAAAGGCTACCTTCTCGTCCAGAGTTTAATCCCAGTGCACAGGAATGATGCCCGAGCCTGCTTGGTGCCTCTCTCTGTGGGCAACTCCAGAGTGGAAGAGACTCTCGTCCTCAATAGGACTGAAACCAGAGCCCAAGCTATGGGTTGAGGCGGCCCCGACTAGGTTTCGTCGGAAATTCTCCACGTTGCACACCAGCTCGGGCCCCTTCCCCGACAGACACGTAACTTTCCACTGCCCTACAGCCAGCTTCAGTAGCTAAGGATAGGAAAGTGAAGGTCCCTAACTTTCGTCATCACCCAGCCCACATTGCAGCCGAGCCCTATGGCCCTCCCACAGATAGTGAGCGCAAGTGAACGGGAACACACGTGATCCTTTCAGACTGTGCCCAGCCAGGTGCCATGGGTGCACTCGTCTTCAAGCCCCACCTCCGGGCCTGGCTCCAGAGGCAGGCCCCAATGGAAAAGAAAATATCTAATATTTGAAAACTGTGTTTTGTCTGTTCCCGCATCTCTGACAAGTTTGCCATGGGTGACATTACCAGGGCAACTGAAGGCCCAGACCACTCAGCTCCTGGGGTTATGGGGACACACAAAGCTCTCCACCACGATATGGTGATGGCTTGCATAGGAGCAGTATACACTAATTATATTTAATTTGAGAGCCACATGATTGAACAAAAGCCATTTCAACATAACCAGAAGCACAATGGCACTCCTTTATCTAATAATGGTTATTGATGAAGAATAGTGTCAGACTTACCTGGTGGGGGCGTACATGGCTGGAATTTAGGTTGGGATAGCGGGTTGCAGGGTCAATGGTATACTGATCGAAGTTTTTATTGATGTTCTCATTTGTGGTCTGAGGCAGTAGTCGGTAGATACTCTCCCTAGGGAATGACAGAACAAATATCTGAGGAACCAATTTCAGTATGACACTGCATGATTAGGCATTTTGTAAAAATACCATTAAAAAAGGCAGGCATAAGTGGTATTTGATTTGATCTTTATATCGAACAAAAACACATTAGCAACAATTATTAAAGTTCGAGAAGGAGGAGAAGAAAGCATAAGGTTACCTTGTTCTGCCTCCTCCTTACAATTCAAATCATCATCTATGACTGGTTAGCGTGTATGAATGTGTATCATTTTCAAATTGCATCTAAACATAAAGTCTCTTAGAAATCTAAAAATAGATCAGTATTGACAATAAAACAAATAAATAGAAAACAAAGAATAAATACATTACAACAAAATCAGCTTTCACGCCCTATGTACACGAATGGTCAATCAATAAGAAACATATATAACTTAGGTCTCCTATAAACAGTTTGAGTCCTTTGACTGATGACAAGTTACATATAATGTGCCATGGGCTTGGCTGTATGTTAATGATTCAACAATTGTGTTCTATCAGTTATATTCTTTACCATGGACATATCATTTCCATTCCCATCAGTCGAAGTTTAAATGATTAAAAGTTCCGTTATAATGTCATGCTGCTTTGTCAACGCCGCCATTTCACTTGCCATGATGTTCGTTGCGGTCTTTAAATCATCCATGTCCTTCAAGTAGTTTAGTCATCTTTTCCCTTGGTAAATCGGGCCGGAGCAGATCTAGATTAGAGGCAAATCGCCCTGTCATAGAACCTGCGCTGTTCAGCAATTTATTAGCAGTGAGGAGTGCTAGCTGGCGCCAACAACTCCGTCCCCTGGCGCTCAATGAAGCTGCTTGTTGCAGCTTTTCGCTGCCCACTATCATTCTCAACTAACAGGGTGTAATGTGAATCCCAGTCCGACGAGTGTCACTTTTTATGGGACACCCTAACGCCAAGCCTATGCAGCTCTGCACCTGTCAGATTGGAAGGTGATGACAAGCACCGGATCTGACGTGGAGCTGATGTACAACCACAAATTCAATGAAGTTGGGAACTTGTGTTAAACATAGATAAAAACAGTATACAATATCATGTTCAACCTAATTGGAATTGAATACACGCCAAAGAAAAGATATTTAAGTGTTACGTCTACAATATTTCATGGCCGTTCATTGTGTGTTCGTCAGCCCCTATTCCTTGAGTGTGTCTGAGACCACTGTTAGTGTAAAAAAGTTAGTCCTTTGATAGAGCCATCATCTATTCATTCGTTTCTCAACATTATTCATTCATGCGTTATGAAATATCACCATAATTTGTATTTCTTCATTCATTTTGCCACTAAATCATTCGGGTTGCATGAAGAGGGATTCGGGAGTGTTGATTTTTTTTTTTTTTTTTTTTAACTCTTCACAAACTTCCACACTGATGTTAGACCAGAGGTCGGCAATCTGCGGCCTCGGAACGCATGCGGCTAATTCATCCTTGTATTGGGGCTCTGTGTGGCTTGGGAAAATAAATGTCCGATGGAAGTGTGCGTTATTTGTCTCACAAACATGTATCACTTCTGTTATGTTCTCATAGTATACTAGGTGGAGGTGTTACTATAAAAATACTATTGAGATGAAAAAGGAAAGAGAGGTAATTGTGAATATAGTGAGTTGTACGAACTAGTGTTGTGCTGTTAATAGCCTGGTAAGAAAATACAGTGTTTCGCTACACTCTGCCCTTGTTATTTTGCCTCCCGAAACCACAACCTCTTTCTTCAGACCTTGTGCAATTTCTTTGATCAGTCTTCTCATTCGCCTTCTTCAGAGATGTTTGCGAGCTGTTGACATGTCAGGGCAGATTTGACAGGTTGCATGCGCGGAAAGCCCAGCGACACCAAAACTGCACAATTTCTGAACAAAATATTTTATTTGTGTTTGTTCGTTTAAGTTTAGTTGTAAATTCTAAGATTATTGTGATTTCTAAATTAATACAATTACTGTATTTATATATTGTATTATTTTTTGTCGCTCAAAATATGCGTCACACTCTCCCACAGCCTGGCAAATCACCATACACAATATGCTTTTGGAGTACTGTTGATCTTAGGATCCACAGATGCATATGAGCATCTATTTTCCATTATGAACAATGTTAAAAACAAACAGCGCTCACGCCTCACAGAAGGCAGGTCCTGCGTGAAGATGAAGGTGACTTCCGACAGCCCTGATTTACAGACGCTGTGAACAAAGGTTCAGGAGCAGAAGTCCCGTTTACCAGGTAAAATAAATAGGCAGTTATTTTGCAAATATTAATTTCATTGTTCAGTGAAATATTGCTCTATTTTTCACTGAATTATTAAATTCAGGTCAAGGCTCCGCTAGACGGTCTGAAAACTGAAAGGATGACAGCTCACAGCATTTGTTTGCTGAATGCAATTTGTAAAAAATGTTATTCTGTTTTTATTTGTCTATTTATGTTAATTGAGTTTGTAAAACAGCAAGGCAGCCGCCTGATAAATAGCGCAAAGTCAAAAGTTTGCCGCGGCTCTCCAGAGTGCCTCACGAGTGGCGCTGAGCAACATGGTGACTCACAGCAAGGGAGGCGAAAAGGACAGCAGTGGCATCCGCGCGGGCATGACTGCAACATCGGGCCGATGGAGGAGTGAACTGATTCATTCCTTTACTTCAGACTGTTTCAGACCAGTAACGAAGTGATGTATGTCCTGTGTCGACTGTCGAGGCTATCAGTATATTTAACACAAATTTCAGAAGAATTGATTATTGGAGCCGTGTACAAGCTATCCGGTTGTAGTCATATTAGTGCCGTACTGATGAGCCAAGAGAAGTTGAGACGCACAATACTTAGTATTTATTCATGCTACCATATCTATATAGAATAGCTGATTCCAAAAGTCAGATTATATGCATTTAAACATTTTATTTTGTGTAAGTACACACACTTCAGCCACAATAGACACAAGTGCCATTATTTATGCTGTTTACATTGTGTATATTGTCTATACTGTTCAGATTACATATTATGTCTTTTATACAGTGTAGCTGCTATCTTGTCTTAGCTGTGTGTGTTTAATGCACGCATGCGTGTTTGCAGTGAGGATGGAGAGGAAGAAATTTCATCTATGCTGCATGTCATACATAAAGCATATTTGACAATAAATATGACATTGAACCTTGAAGTTATGCTATTTGTCATTTAATATTAATGCTATTTGTTCTGAAAAGCAAAACAACAGAGTATTATATTTCAGAAGAATATGTTTAGATGCTAGTTTATTATTCTTTATGTTAGCAGGGATGACAATGGCTCGTGATGAAAAAAGTGTAAGGGGCGTGGCCTGTACAGGGCGTGGCCTGGACGGGGGCGTGGCCACTTACAAAAGTGGCACTAAACATGCTGAAGATGAAGTGTATTCAATTTACACACTATTTGAAACAGATAAAAAATACCAAGATTGTTCACTATTCTTTCAAGTGAAAATTTGTGCAATTTTGCTTATGCATTCCTGGTGAGCACCAATATGTAACTTCAAATTTGCTGCTCAAAATCAAAACTAAAAAAGGAAACACATTCCCTGCCATATTTAAGAGTTGTTCATTGCTTGTATTCATAAAGTGCTGTGTAAATGTGAAAAAAGAAGCTGTTGATTCTTATATCATACAGTGATAGTGAAGTCCCACATTGTTTACTATATATGGGTTATGAATGTATTTTACTATATAAAGTGGATGTCTATTTACAGTATATACACCAATATACAGTTTCATGAGGTAGAATACTTTATTTTCTCTTCATTTTAAGCTTTTTAGCAAGCGCTAAAAGCTTATTGGTCCTCTCCGTCTTTTTCCACTCTCTTTTTAGCCAACTCCTCTTGTTTTTACACATGCTCCAGGCTGTCGAAAAGCGCTTGAGATCGAGTAGTTACTTTTCAGTAGAAATGTCTGTTTTCAGTGTTTCACCGAGGTTGCGTGACTCTGTAAAGCTTTCCATCCTCTCGATCCGTATAGAATGACATCGTCGCACACTGTACACAGAGCTTTACCGGCGACATCGAGCTTTTTCACGAAATCCGACACAAGCACAATGGTTCCTCTTTACTGTTTCCTACTGGGGACACCGTCAGCTTTCTATCCAACCAGTCCCATCGAAACGTGTTTTTCAGATCCGCATCTATCTGACGCACTTTAGCTTCGTCGTGAGTCTCAATAACATTCGGCATTCGTGAGAAAGGGGTTTAGGAAGGCGAACACGGATTGGTTGTGATTTGCATTTGCCGATATAGCGACCAATCACAACAAGTAAGACATCATGCACGTCCAATCGCAGGGCTGTTTACAATCGGAAGATGGAAAGACTGATCGGGAGAGCTCGTGAAAGCTCGACGATAAGGTACCTGACCCCCCCTAAAATTTTCTCAACGGATTTAGACGATTCACAAAAATGATCAATTTAAGAAATAAAACGGCGGATTTCCGCGTATCCACGGAAAATTGCCATCCCTGTGTTAGAGTAAACCAACCATCGTCAGGTCTGAACCGATACTTGTTTTGTTTGAATTGATTGATTGATGAAGTGTGTTTCTGCAGTCTGTTCTGATACTTTGTTGTCTGGGGCAGCAGGGTTACATCAGATAAAATTCAGAGGTTGTATTATGGGCCTCTGCCCTCTGATTTCAGCGAAGCAACAAGTGATCACGTGAAACATGAGCAGACAAATGAATCCAAGAAATGTAGTAAAGAGCCAAAATGTTACTTCATTTCTGAAGACTTCTAAGAATGAGATCATTACATTTGTCAAGTTTACTATTTTGTAGGTTGAATACCAATTTGGAAGCATAGGAGTTAACGCGAGCAGGACGACTATAGATACAAACTTGGTCAAGCTTGGATCAAAAGTGACTCGTACCTTCAAGGAGAAAGGCTTGGGGGTGGAGGGCCCTTAACTACTAACATATCTAAACATGGACTGTACTATTTTGACGGGGGCGAACCAAAGAGAGCGTGATATGCTTTGGATACGCAGCTTTGATGCTGTATTATCAATTTTGCTCAGATAAAAACCACCAAGGATGATTGCAGAAAATGTATTTCTTGTGCAAGAAAGAAAAACAATGTCACACGAACCTCTCTGACAGTATCTCCAGTGAATTCTTGCCCTGTGCAAAGGCCTTCACCATCCAAGCTGTGTCAAAAGCTGCCAAAAAACCCCGTGCGCAACCTGTACCCATTGGCCAAAAAGGCTGTGAAGAGAACATAATAATCATCATCATCATCATCTTGGGCAAGGACGATCTTTTTTTTTCTTCAAGATCTAGCTCGTGCCGATTTCCGCTGACGATACATACCTCAAGCAGACTATCTCCCACCAATGCAACCAGTAGCTGATGTCCATGTTTCTCCCTGATCAAAGCAGCATTCTCTGAGGCATACATGCTGGTGAAGTCAAACATTGCTACATCTGGCTGCCCGTAGTGGTTGATAGCATAGTCCAGTGATGGTAGCTGGTAATTTGTGCCAAAGTCTGCTGCCTCACGGGCATAAGAGAGCAAACCTTCCTGGTTTACATTGTCACTGCTTAATAAGCGCTCTGTTTCTACATAGTCCTAGATGAAAAACAAAAAGATAAAGTGCTCAATGTAGATCAAGTTGTACAGTCAGAAAAATATGAGCATTTCTTTCTGCATTCCTTACTGCGAACTGACTCTGACAATATAAAAAAAGGTAATGTATCCGCCTGCATCTAATGTGGATTGGTCAAAATTGTTCTGAAATTAGAGCCAGATTATTTCTTTCTTTCTTTTCCAAAAATCCTCTCATTGATTGAATGAAGCTCAACCAATCTATAACTACAAATACAAGGTTTTATTGTCAAGGCATATTGACAAAACACATGTATTAAGCCAAAATTTTTGGAATGACAATGAATTTAAAATGGCGGGTTTGGAATGGTTCTTTATTGCACAGCACTTTGAGTTGCATTTCTATGAATGAAAAGTGTTATATGAATAAAATTTGATTGATTGAAATACATTTATAAACAAAATACTCAGTGCCCAAATTAAGCCAATGCTTTCATGTTAATTTATATGGACAAGTGAACTTACATTAATAATGACCCCTTTGTCCAGCAAACTCTGCTTCTTTGCAGTCATGACAAAATAATGAGTGTTGTCCCTGTAGTAAACAATGTTCTCCAAGTCAATTCCTACAAATATGAGGACAGACAAGGACCGATTTTCAGACTTAAAACAGACAATCCACAGATACACAATCCTGTTTTCTTGGTGTGTTTTTCAAAGCATCTTATTATTATTAAAAAATAGTGTCACAGAATGCCACATGGTTCAAAGTGTGGGAAAAAAGTAGCGGCTTATAGTCCAGGAAATACGGTATATGACAATTTTATATCACACACACACATGCACATACACACAGTTTAGTGGTGATATATTTTGTTGATTGACCTGTTTCTTCCTTTAGTTCAAGGAAGAACTTCTGGTTGAAGATAAAGGCCACTCCACTTATCTCTTCCACTTTGGCCTCTGCCGTGGTGTTTCTGTTGACAAAGTTAGCCGTAATCGCAATGGCCAGCTTTCCTCGAAACTCCTTGCGGCTGAAACCTACCAAAAGTAAAGAAAGAAATGTGAACAATTACAGCCAAAGTAAATGCAACTTGAAGTACAAATTATATTCTACCAGTTCAGGGGAATCATAAATCGTTTGAGATTAGACTGTAGCTGAACAACGAACTGGCCTGATAATAATAATTTGTCTCTAGCAAAAAATTGTATGCTTCTGGCAAGACATGACCTAGTTGATCATATTTTGGAACACGGGACATTTTCAATAAGAAAAAGTAGTTTGGTATTCAAAACATGTGGCTCATGGGTTGTACGAGCTGTGGTTTACAGCCATACTACTACAGTACTGTGAAAACACCCAATCAACTGATCTTGGCAACGGCCGGAATAAAATGTGGCCAGTGGACCAGATGCAGCTTGGAGGTCACCTATTAAGTACCTCTGGTAAGAATATGACTGGATGGATGGATGGTTGGATGAAATTTGTTAATTATTTTAAAAGAATGTTCAGCTTTTGTTTGACTCGCCTCAATTTTTAAATTGACTTCAAATGGTAGTTCAAAATCCTCAGATCAACATGCACAACAAGAACATGTAAACAACATTTACACAGCAAAACTGAGGTGAATTTGCTGAAATGAATACAGAGTGGTGGTCAATTTACAAAATTTTGCCGGTCCACCATTCGTCAGCTGCCTGGGCACCCGTCCGTCATCGTCAGTCATTTATTATTGTACACTATATACTGTATGTGAGACTCCGCAGCCAGGCTCTTATATAGTACAGAAATATGACAATATAAAGTAGAATATGTACATCTACTCAAAAGAAATTGAACTGCATTTCATGTTTACTTAGGTTATCTTCGTTATTTGCATCGGTGTGATGATGTGGAACATTAAAGTGGATAAACTATGGGGGAGGGGGATACTTTCTTCATGGCCTTGTACTTTAAATGGCACGAATCTTAACAATGAGCCCAAGTTTTTAAAAAAGTTAATGACCTTAAGCACACACTCGGCCGGACATTTTGCAATACTCGGCTTCCACTTAAAAGTGTGTAAACAGGAAATGCTTTAGTTAGTGATGGAGGGTAGCGTTGCAACTGTGTACCTCATTTCCACTTAAAATAAACAGTGCTTTGACTACAGGGTGTATGGGAGATAAATACATTGCTTCGATTCTGGATTTGGGTGGACAGTATGAACAATAAGACAACATTTAATGACTGATTAAAAAGCACACAAGTACAATAATTCACAATATAATTCCGGCTGTAATTCTCTTTCACATTACCTACCATCTAATGTGTTTTTGCGTCCATCAGCTCCAATCACCACATCAAAGTCAAAATCTGAGACAGAGTGGCTTGAGGGCTGGATATCCGCTCTCCAACTTGGACCTAAGAGGGGGTTATAGCAAAGCACTTTGATTATCTTCTAACCGTTACATACAGTAAGCGAAAAAATTTATCTACATAAAAAGAAGATGACAGGCAGTTGGAAGTGATGTCTTCAACAGTAATGATATTCCCTTGATTTCAGAGTGGGCAACGGGGGATTGAGGATGGGAACGCTTTCATAGGAGACTGTTTCAGTGCCAGACTAGTGATTTGAGTGAGGAACAATTGAATAGACTGAATGCTGATCCCTCCTCCACCCCTACCCCTACAATATATGTCAGTCATGCTATTTGTGGGCCTGGCCGGCCCCTATCCAAATAGAGGGGTCAACTCAAATTGTGGGAAAAAAAAAATTTTGAAGAAAAAAAAAAAAAAAAAACAATTCAAAACAGTTTGCTTTAAGTACGCCTACAGCAAATATAACTTCAGATAACTTTATACCCAGCACGTGTGGTAGTCAGTACTGTACTGTAAATGAAGGCACTTGAAGCAGTGAAGAGAAATGTTCTGTCGCAACAAACTTACTGTCATCAGTCTGTTCTTCTGGTGGCTCCACAAGTTTGAGGAATTCCACATTGACATGAACCTCAATCCCCAGAATGAGGCAAATTTTAAGCAGCATCAACTGGAGTTGACGGATACCTGGAAGAGACATGAGCACTTACGTAGAGCTGTAATGCATGGTGGCTGTGAAGTGCAAAACACAACAACTGAACACAAAAGCACATTTTTTTCTGTTGCGATCAGCTTTTTTTTCCAAATTAGATTTAGTGATTTTTGCTTTGCTGTTGTGTTCAGTCTTGTTTATATGAGTTGTCATTTGTTGCTGTGGTTAATTTTTGGGGGGTTTTCATTTGCCCTTGTGTTTCATTATTTGTTTTTTTTTTTTTTTTATTTTGCTCTTGTGTTCAATTATTTGTTATAGTATTTTTTTCATTCGCTGTTGTGATTTTGTTTTGTTTTTTGATAGGTTTTTGTGTTTAGTTTTTTTTGTTTTTACATTTGCTGGTGTGTTCAGTTTTTAGTTTTTGCACTCCCGGGTCACCGTAGTATTACATGTAAAGAAAAAACAAAAAAATTAATTACATATTGGCATAACACACACATGTTAAATGTTCTCCTTAATTTGTACTTTTCCATCCACCCTTTTTTATTGAATGTTTGTTGTGCATCATGCTAATCTGTGTTATTGTTTGATTAGTATTGTTTTATCTTCCTATTTTCAGTACTTTTGTGTGACAAGTGACATTTGTAAATCTGTCCAGCCATACTGTATTTATTTGAGAAGCGCTGTGAAATTAAGGTCAAACAGCTCTGACAGCTTGAGGGCTATGTTGATTCCTAAATATTTAATATTTCTTGCAGGGAGGTAAAAATTCGATGTAAGAGCTGTTACATCCCTCTCATCCATGAGAAGGGATAGAAGAGTGGATTTTTTTTTAGGATGAGTTAATACTGATGAAGTGCTGTCAATTACTTCATAACTGAGAGACGTGTTGACTAATGTTGAGTATTGGCTGTTGTGGGAGGATCAATACATCATCTGCATATAAGATTATTTAATGTTCCATTGATAATGCTGTGATGCCTGTAATGTAATTATCTGGTCGTATTCTGGCATGCAAGTGGTTCAATTAAAATTGAGTTGGAGAGAGGGGACATCCCTGTCTAGTGCCGTTGTGAAGAGTGAATTGTTATGAAATTAACCCATCAGTGATAACTGTGGCTGCTCATGTTGGATATTGTGCCCTAGTCCAGTTAATGAATGACTCTCCAAATCCACATCTTTGTAACGTTGCGAATAAGAATTTCCATTTGACTCTAGCATTATTTTCAATTTCCTTCTGTTCGAGAGCTGCATTAAGATTAATATTTTCTGGGTGCAATGGAATGAACGTCTTCCTTTCATAAAATCGGCTTGATCTGCAGGTATAATAGATGGAATGACCTTTTCGATTCTGTTTGTCAGTGCTTTGCCAATGATTTTTATGTCTGTACTGATTAAAGAAACAGGACGATAGCTTGATGGCTGAGTGGGTTCTTGATGAGGTTTAAAGAGCTGTGTGATTAAAGCTGTTTTCATAATGGGAGGTCTTGTGTTAGTTGTAAGGACTTAATCATTTTAAAAAATAGAGTCCATAGATCAGAAATGTTTGGAGAACTCAGCAGGGAAGCCGTCAGGGCCGGTCTGCCTTGTTGCTTCTCATTTTAGAATTATTGCAGAATTCATCCCGTGTTCATGACTGATTGAGAGGAATTGGTTTGTTCTGAATTGAGGTAAATGGATATTGTTCAAAAATATGGAAATACCTTCCATATTCTGGTTATGAGATGATGGATACAGATATTGATCATTGATCACCTGAAAATTGACTTACTGATATGATCGATGGAGCCCGCACAGAATTTGCCATAGAACTTCTTGGCCCCTAGGCCTCTGAGGTCTTCAATGGTGAAGGGCCAGAGATGAAGCACATTGTTCCTGGAGAAGGTGTCCCTCTTCTCAATCACCACCACCTTACAACCCAGCAGGGCCAGTTCGATGGCTGTCCGCAGACCACAAGGTCCGCCGCCGATGATCAGACACTAAACAGGGTTAGAGAGGAGAACAAGAACTGCTAAAAGGGGAAAACAAGTTGTGCTTGTGATAACATTTATGCGTCGACTCGTACTGTGGAACTACTTGGAAATGCAAAAAAAAATTTGAATTTTACAGGATAAAATAAGAGGTGGGCACATCAGTAAATTTTTCCGGGCCGTCATTCGTCAGCGGATGGGCCACCCGTCCGTCATTGTCAGTACGTCATCATTACAAGCCGAACCAAAACTGTTAGTCGGTCACTCTGCCATCGTTATTTCAACCATATCTTCCGTCATGGTTAAATTACAGTTCGTCACCGCTACCTGAGGACCATCAGGCAGTGCATCATCGTTATTTAAACCGCACTTCCGACATGGCTAAATTACAGTTTGTTACCACCTTTTCAGGACAGTCAGCTGCTCTTCTTCTTTGGTGGCATAGCATTGGCAATAGCCGATCACTGTCCGAGAACGTAGTACTTACTATGTCACACACATTAGCAGCACAAGCATCTACTCTGGTAAAGACCCACATCTCGTACCGTGAAAAGTAAAAGATATTCCATAGTATTTAAAATTAATATTGTCAATCATCTCTGACTCAAACATTCACTAGAAAAACAAAATATAACACTGTGTGTGCCTTGTAACCCAGTAATAGACAAATCAAAGATAAACGTCTACCATAACAACAGGAAGCTCTCCCGTCTTACTCTTCATCCAGTAGTCGTGATTACTCGACTGCTCGAATCATCTGTAAATCGTGGCCTATTGCACCAGTAAGTAAGTGCTCTTATATAACCATCATTAGCTTTAAAATATGTACAAATTAATTATAAAAAGACAATCAAGTTGATAGTCCATTGATCTGTCGTTAAACCTTGTAGCTTGTACCAGCGTGTTTGTAAATGATGGTGCAACTTGATTTGTGAACCATACTGAACTTTAACTGGAAATGTTGTGTTAATTTTAAAATGGAACCAAAAACTATATTCTATGCAGAGTTGGACAATTACTAAGAACCTACATATAAATCCAAAAAGAAATACTTTACATACATACCATTCTTCCTGGGCACAAGGCCTTTTTTAATGTAGAAGGTATTGAAATCAGATTAGTAAAATGTCTACCATGCTAAACAAAACAAACCCTACAAATTCCCATCACATTCTAAATACAGAAGCAGCTTGGCCAACCAGCAACAAGAATTTTACTTCAAACACTGGTTTCCACTGAAAAATAATGCTTGGGATAATTGTTCATCTGTCATTTTTGGCCAACCCAATTCTGCTATCTGCCCTTTGAGGCCTCTTTCCTCTTCAGACATGTTATCTTTCATTATGCTATGAAGTCACTGAAGTAACATGTTAAAATGGTGTAGCTTTGCTACCATAGAAGCATAGTAGTGGAGTGCTGACTGTATTTGTCCTAACAAACACAACCGTAGGCATTTTGTTGAGCCAAACCTTTTAATGCTGGCCCCTTATTCTCCCACTGAATTTTAATCTTTCAGTGCGCTTGAGACCTTTTGGACTATTCTCGGCTTCCAATTTAGTGAGAAAATTTTGGGGAATGCTGTTTTTTTTCCCACGTGCACTAATCAAATCCAGTAAAGGCATGCTTTGCCATCATGTTATGACACAGTAGCTTTTTGGAAACACTGATTTACTTTTGGCTGGATAACTTGCATTAGATTAAAATTTAAGTCGACCAACCCCAGAGAGACAAAGATAATTTAAGTTTGTCTCTGTGTGTTTGTACTTCGTCAGGTGGCGTTAGCTTGTCGACCGTGAAAAGCTTGGCTAAAATGATTCTTTAAATATTTCACCATAGTTTCGCAGCAGGATTGCTACTTAGGTTAATTTAATTTGAACCAATTTGAACATTCATGTTTTTGGGTGTGTTTATATGCCATTTAAAACCTACATACTGCCAATATTATGGTTTTAATGGGGTTATTGACTGCATGTAAACGTAGACAGTGTATTCAACATTTAACAGCAACATTAGGTACATGTACATAATGTAATATAATAATGCACACTAGTTGAACAAGAAGGAAACGGCTGTTTTACTACTGTGGTGAGTGGCATGAATGAAACTTGTTTTATTGACAGTAGATGGTGGCAAACGGAAATGACTTATATTTGTGTTACAATGCCCATGCATCAACATCCGAAACGGGTTATTCAAATGAGGGTGTAACTATGTCCCCTTCAAGCCTGTAAACAGAATGTTCAGAGATCGGAATTTTTACCTTAACCTTAATATTGACTGCATGTAAATGTACTCACTGAGAACTATATTTTTGTGAGCAATTCTATGTCTCTTACCCGAGTTCCTTGACAGGCTTTGTTCTGGCTGTACACTTTTTGCTGTGCCCTCTTGTCCAATTTGGTCCACAGAGCTTTGACCTTCCAGGAGGTGACTGCTGTTTTCAGTGAGCTGTAGAAGTTGCTGTAGTCCATCGGATCTAGCTCCAGCTGCCTGCAGAGGATACTGAAGGCCTGCAGAGTCCCTTTGCATGTGGACATCTGGACAAAGTTCTCAAAGAGCTGGCTGGCCTTAGCTGTGCGCTCATCCTCCGTCTCACCCATTCTGTCTGATTGTTACCAGCGGCTCCCTTCTCCTTTTGACTCCTTGCACACTGCGAGAACTCTTTTCTAGGATGTTGCCATGCATATCTGGTTCTGGAAAATAAAGCATGAAAAAAATACGATTATTACACTGATTGACAGAAATATATATATATATATATAAATAAAAGGTGTCAATTTATCGTGTTAATTGCGAATAATTAATTACAGACATATTTAACGCGTTGTTTTTTAATCGCGTTAATCAAAATTTTAATCTCTAACTTTTTCTGTAGGTGGGTTGCCTTTTTATAATATCCCTTTTCATGTGTTGGCTTCCTGTGTTCGAGTTGTTGAGGGTGGGGAAACAACTGTCAGTCACAGCGTGAAGCGGACATTGATTGGCTGTCATTATGTTTGGGCTTGTTTAGCATAAACTGATTGGCTCCCATTGGAGTTGGGCGGGCTAAGTAAGCAGCGGTGAGGAGAGGAGAGGTGAGAATGGAGGAGCATGTGAGAGTTCTCTGCACAATGAATGGAAAATTTACTTTTCAAAAACGACCTGGCGGCACTATTGATAAAAATAGTGTTGTGCAGATCATAATTAATCTCACAATTTTTTTAATCGTTTGACAGCACTTATACAGACACAGACACACACACACACACACACACACACACACACACACACAGTATATCATTGATATAAACCACAGCTTGAATAGTATCGTTCTTGTCACTGAAGTCCTTCATACCCCTTCTTAGCCTAACAAAGTATTTCTATTCTTAGCTTCAGGATAATCAGAACAAACTGAGCAGGGAGTAAAAAGGGAGCTAAATAGCAGTTTTTGTGAAGGAGGAGGAGGAACAATTGCATAATTCATCACTCTCATCATAGAAAATAATGTACATTCAGAGATCCTGATGACTGAGTTGTGGATATGAATTGCAATTCTGTACACACACACACACACACAAAAAAAAAAAGTACAGTGTGCATGCAGCCAATGTAACTGCGACCACATTTTGGCAGCTGGTGTCATTTACTGTGCTGCGGTCTGCAGGGGGAACAGAATCCATGCCAGGAACATGCCAGTGAGGTTATTAAACAAATCCTGAAAGGGTCAGATGACAACTTGAGAGATGTAAGCCAATGAAGAAGAGGAAGTCTCTGATCAAACCCCCATCTTGACACGGGTTGCTTGGCCCAATCTCATTCAGCTGAGTAGTCATGTAGAATAGTTCAAGGAATTATGCGAGTTGAAGGGCTTTTCTCCCCACCAGTAAGTATAGGCACTGAAGCCAGGATGTTGCTGAGTTAAAGCGACGCTGATGACAAGGTAACATCCTGGGGCAAAGCAAAAAACTGTATATCCAACGGGAGCATATTCTTACAGTCAAATTGATATGATAAAGTACGAGACACAAAAATAATGCATACCAAACCCACACTCTAAATGAGGTGATGGCAATATATGTGGCTTGTGAATGTAAACTGGTGGAATACAAAATAGGTGGAAGGAGTTTTTGGTGCAAAAAGTCCACCATAATTGTGGATTATACTATCATGACGTGTTGCTGAAATCTCCAAACAAGTGAATGCAATAAAATGATTTGGGACTATTTTAACGTTGTTGAATTGTTACAGCAAAAATAATTTTAAAACAATAAACAGATCAAATTCAAACAGGTGATGGGATTTTGTGCAGCAATTACAAGGTCAAAATAAAATTTACTTAAAAGTGAACATTTGGAGACCTGTGACAATAGCAATGATGGTTAAAACTATGGACCTGAATGCACTGGCTACTGGATCATTTGGGCTTTCAATATGAAATGGAAAACAGTAAACTTGGGTAAAGGAAAGGTTACATTCCAAAGGCAAGAACTGCTTGTAAAGGGCACTGAAAATAGCCTCCAGGCGTCAATGTGGTGCCTTACTAAACGTGTGTGTGTGTGTGTGTGTGTGTGTGTGTGTGTGTGTGTGTGTGTTTGTGCTTTGACCAGACATCCCTGCATGCATGCAGACGTACAGCCGACACCGTTCAAACTTTATGAACATGGATCATTTTTTTCTACAAATATTTCGTTCCTTCCGCTGCTCCCCAGAATGCCTGATAGGATTAGGATTGTGTGTGCGTGTGACTGGATTGAAAGGGTTCAGTCAGTCGTCATCTGTACTTGGGGGTAAAAAAAAAAAAAAAAACAAAAAAGGACGTTTCGCTTCTCTCACAGAAGCTTCGTCAGCGGTAGACAACTCTGAAGTCTCCGTGAAGACTCCGGGAAATTGCTCTGCGCTAACGGAACCCTTTCTACAATGGAACTTTCCTGTACGACTGAGAGCCTCCACAAGCAGTGTGACTGGATAGGTATTAAATATGGAACAAAGACTCACAAAATCACACTTGCAAGCTGAGCTTTGATTCGGAAGCTGAAACCATGCTATTCAGTTTCAGTCTACCACACATAATCTAGCCTTTTAGGAAATTGAAATATTAAATTTAAATCACCTGAAATTGACCTTAATTAGAACGAGAAAATAATCAGCATGCTCTCTTTGTAGCACAGCATGGTTCACATTGGACAAACAGTTAACACCAAATTAAGTCATTAAAAATTGTTGACTTTTCAGCACCAGATTTTTTTTTTCCAGGTTCCTTAAGTACAGACAATCTGTTTTTGAAACAAATCCTTAAGTCCCACCTTGCGCCATCTGTCTAATTCTGATTCTAAATCTGATCCGATACTGAAATTTCCTCTGACCTATGAAGTCAAGAGAGGTTCATCATGAAAACAGTGATACACAAAGGCTGGTCATGGGAATGACTGTGACCTGTGAAAGTTGTATTGCAAAAAAACAACAACAAAAAAAACATTGCATCATGGAAGAGGAAGTGGTTAATTTGGTCTCCTTTGGGAATTTGTATGTTTAGTGGCGTCCAACTAAAAGAGCTGAGCATCCTATTATTCCACTCCAAACTTTTGCCTTCAATTACAGTAAGCCTGATTAGGACTACAATCCACAAGTTTGGCCAGAACGATGGGAGACTGGTTAACACAGTGGTCAGCAACCCGCATGCAGCTCTTTCATCCTTATGTTGCGGCTCTGCAGGGCTTGGGACAATAAAGTATCCGAGTAAATAACCAAAGTGTTCGATTGAAGTCGATGTTATTTGTGGCAAAGACATGTATCACTTCTTTCTTCAGACGGCGTGCAATTTCGATGATCAGCATTCGCCTTCTTCAGAGACGTTTGCGAGCTGTTGACGTGTAGGGCAGATTTGACAGGCAGAATGTACACACACACACACACACACAGATTAATATATATATATATATATATATGTAAAACTAGAGCTGTCAGTTTAGCGCGTTTTTATTGGCATTAATTTAAATGAATTTTAACGGGATTAAATTTTTTTCTCGCGAGATTAACGCGGCACACGTCATAGCGGATGTTACGTTGCTCTATAAATAAACCAGAAACAAAACAACAAGCGCGCTGCACAGGTCCACGCACGTTTGTTTTGCCAGCCACGGCAGCGCGAGACACCGAAAACGGATACTTAAAGAGATTATGAATGGAAAGTTTACTTTTAAAAAGTTGCCAGATTGGTCCACTGACAAGACCAAAGTTACCTGGATGTTTTGCAGTAGTAAACTGAGCTATCATCTTGGCATCGAGTCTGAAATACCACTTAATGGCCAAGCACACAGCTGACGTGAGTACTCCGCCCCCTCGTCTAAGACAGACAGCTATGGATCATTTCAAAGCGAAGAAAATGGATGACACGATGAAGAACAAATTTGCTGAAGCCATAGCTAAATGTATGGCTACTGCATGCAAGTCTGTCAACATTGTCCACAGCTCGACTCAAGCTGAAATCATTCGCATTGC